GGATGGGAGATGAAGTTTCTATCTAAGATATCAGAACTTAGGAATATTGAGGCAGGATGGTTGAAGAAGTTTCTTTATACAATGTCGGTGACCACATTCGTCTTTTGGGGTGCCCCAACATTTGTGTCTGTGGTCACTTTCGGGACTTGTATGTTTGTGGGGATCCCATTAGAATCAGGCAAAGTCTTATCTGCTCTTGCAACATTTAGGATTCTTCAAGAACCAATTTACAATCTTCCTGACACAATCTCAATGGTGGTTCAAACCAAGGTTTCACTTGATAGAATAGTGTCATTCCTTCGCCTCGATGACTTGCAGTCTGATATTATAGAGAGGCTTCCAACGGGTAGTTCTACTACTGCAGTGGAGATTGTTAATGGAAACTTTTCTTGGGATTCATCTTCTTCGAACCCCACACTGCGAGATATCAACATCAAAGTGGAACATGGCATGAGAGTTGCTGTTTGTGGTACGGTAGGCTCAGGCAAGTCTAGTTTGCTATCTTGCATCCTGGGAGAGGTACCTAAGATATCCGGGAACCTGAGGGTATGTGGTACTAAGGCATATGTTGCTCAGTCCCCGTGGATACAGAGTGGAAAGATTGAAGAGAACATACTTTTTAGCAAAGAGATGGACAGAGAAAGGTACAAAACAGTTCTTGAAGCATGTTGCCTAGAAAAGGACCTTGAAGTTCTTTCATTCGGCGATCAGACGGTAATAGGAGAAAGAGGAATCAATTTAAGTGGTGGGCAGAAGCAAAGAATTCAAATAGCCCGTGCCTTATACCAAGATGCTGATATCTACTTGTTTGATGATCCTTTTAGTGCAGTTGATGCTCACACAGGTTCTCACCTCTTCAAGGTAATTCTTTTTTCTATTTTTGCTTCTCTTATCTCCAGAGGGAAGGAAAAAAGTGTCTATGGTCAGTTGTATTATCTTTTTTTTAAGGGTTCCACGTCTGTTTTGATGCCTGAAGATGTCCTTATAGCTCAATTATATCATATTTTTCTGACAGGAATGTTTGCTTGGTCTTTTAAGTTCAAAAACAGTTATTTATGTAACTCATCAAGTAGAATTTTTACCAGCTGCTGATCTCATCTTGGTAAGTTTTCAAGTATTTTTATTTTTGTTTTTTGTAGTGCTCCTTCACTTTACATCTGACCTAAGGAGATCGATTACTGTCAGGTCATGAAGGATGGAAGAATCACTCAAGCTGGAAAATACGATGAAATTCTCAGTTCTGGAACCGACTTTATGGCACTTGTTGGTGCACATGAGGAAGCTTTATCAGCCATTAATTCTGTGGAGGGAGACGCATCTGAAAAATCTGCTAGCAAGGAAGATGGTTCTATGCCAAGTACTAATGGCATTGCAAATGAAGAAGATAAAACAGATATACAAGATGGGAAAGTAGTTGATGCCAATAAGTGGAAAGGGCAGCTTGTTCAAGAAGAAGAGAGAGAGAAAGGACGTGTTGGATTTTCGGTTTACTGGAAATATATCACGGCTGCATATGGCGGAGCTCTTGTGCCATTTATATTGCTTGCTCAAGTTGTCTTTCAGATTCTTCAAATTGGAAGCAATTATTGGATGGCATGGGCTACTCCTGTTTCAGAGGATATGGAGCCTCCCGTTACAAGTTCTCGATTGATTGCCGTCTACGTTGCTTTCGCCATCGGAAGCTCTCTTTGTGTCCTCGTGAGATCAGTCCTCCTTGTGACAGCTGGTTATAAAACAGCTACTCAACTCTTTGTTAAAATGCACACAAGCATCTTTCGGGCGCCGATGTCGTTCTTCGATTCTACTCCAAGTGGAAGAATCCTCAATAGAGTGGGTGAACTTTATCCATAAACCTCTAAAATTGGTCCCTTGAGAGTTGACACGCTTGATCGCAATTTTTAAATACTCGTTCTTTTGTTTACAGGCCTCCACCGACCAGACTGCCATTGATTTGGATATACCATTTCGAGTAGGATCGTTCTGCGTCACTTTGATTCAGCTCCTGGGAACTATTGCAGTAATGTCCCAAGTTGCATGGCAGGTTTTCGTTATCTTTATCCCTGTGATGGCACTGTGCCTCTGGTATGAGGTATATATCTTCTCAACTTTTGGTTTGTCTTGATAGGAAACACGGTGACATAATGTGGAAATAGAGATTTTCAGAGCTTTTGTTATGCTGCAACATTACATTGAGCTTTTGTTATGCTGCAACATTACATTGAGCCTTTCTTATGCAGCAATATTATAATCCGTCCGCACGGGAGCTATCGCGGTTGATCGGAGTGTGCAAAGCTCCAGTGATACAACTTTTCTCCGAAACAATTTTGGGATCAACAACCATTAGGAGCTTCGATCAAGAGTCGAGATTCCAGGACACCAATATGAAACTGACAGATGCGTATTCTAGGCCCAAGTTCCATACGGCTGCAGCAATGGAATGGCTCTGCTTCCGTCTCGATTTGTTGTCTTCCCTTACTTTTGCTGCCTCTTTGATTTTCTTAATATCTATCCCTGTGGGAGTCATTGATCCAGGTACATTCTTCACTCTGGTCTATCTTCAAACAATGATCTTCAAATTTTCTCTTTCCCTCTGACTATCTAATTCTTTTTTGCTGTCTACACTGAAGGCATTGCTGGCTTGTCAGTAACATATGGACTTAACCTCAATATGTTGCAAGCTTGGCTAATATGGAACCTTTGCAATATGGAGAACAAAATTATATCGGTCGAGAGAATATTTCAATACACTTCAATCCCTAGTGAGCCACCTCTAGTTATCGATGAAAACCAACCAGATCGTAACTGGCCAGCATTCGGAGAAGTTGAACTCCATGATCTGCAGGTAGTTTCAATTCTTTGTGTCCTCGGTGCCAAAAGGCTCTCATATCTGATGCCTGTGATCTTTTCTATGAAATTTCATAATTAATGGATATCACGTAGGTTCGCTATGCACCCCAACTTCCACTCGTGTTGCGAGGTATTACATGTACTTTCCCGGGAGGCAAGAAAACTGGCATTGTTGGGAGAACAGGAAGTGGTAAATCAACTTTGATACAGACACTTTTTCGGATAGTTAACCCTGTAGCTGGTCGAATGATGATAGATTGCATCAACATATCAACGATTGGACTTCATGATTTGCGGTCCAAACTCAGTATCATCCCTCAGGATCCAACCATGTTTGAAGGCACCGTGCGGAGCAATCTCGATCCCCTAGAAGAATACTCGGACGAAGACATTTGGGAGGTAACTTGGTCTGATAGTTTCTTAAAATGAAGTCTCTTGTTTTTTTTTCCCCTTATCATGAAAGCAAACATTTCATTGATGCATCAGGCACTGGATAAATGCCAACTTGGAGATGAAGTGAGAAAAAAGGAAGGAAAGTTGGATTCTGCAGGTACATTTCTGGATATTCTGGTAAAAGTTTCAATGAATTGGTGAAGTTAATGAAATTTATTTATTTGTGAATACAATGCACAATGCAGTTAGTGAGAATGGAGAGAACTGGAGCATGGGTCAGAGGCAGCTCGTTTGCCTCGGTCGCGTGCTGCTCAAGAAGAGTAAGGTGCTGGTCCTCGACGAAGCCACTGCATCGGTCGATACCGCTACGGATAATTTGATTCAACAGACTCTCCGACAACATTTCTCTAACTGCACAGTCATTACCATAGCACATCGCATAACTTCTGTCCTTGGCAGTGACATGGTTTTGCTTCTAAGTCACGGTTCGTGTTGACATCCATATAGTTCATCAAACTAATTAACTTGACGATGGACAACTTCTTGATTTTGGTAATTTGTTGTGCAGGACTCATTGAGGAGTATGATGCTCCCACAAGATTGTTAGAAGACAAGTCATCCTCATTTTCTCATCTAGTTGCAGAGTACACACAGAGGTCGAGTTCTCGATGAAAACCAAAGCGGATTACTGAATCGTATACCTTACCAAAGAACTGGTTGTTGATGATGGCGAAAATGGAAGCTCTTCTGAAGATCTTGGTTTGGAATCTTGGATTAGGTACAAGAATAACATATAAAGTTAAACATAAGTGTTGGTTTGACTGTATCTGCCTCTGCAAATTTTGAAACTTCATATAAATTTAACCTTTATAAAAAATCTCAAGTTACTCTGTTAGCTCTTACTTCTTGATTGGTTTTTACCAGCTTTTCTAGCTTTGATGTGTGAATTTACAGACACTTTCAACTCATGAGTTATCGTTCTCCTAAAGATATATTGCTGATTCTCATTTAAATACTAATTTATGTACTATTTTGAGACAGGACAAAACACTTTTCTTGCAAGTAAATGAGTAGCAAAATATAGGCTAAATTATTTAAAATGTCATTCAACTTTGAGGTTTGTTTCAATTATATCTATCCTTTAAAAAGTTCCACTTCTACCATCGAGCTTTAAAATTAATTCAACTATCCTGTGAACAAGTTTATCGTTAAATTGATGTGATTGTTGAATTGTAGACTAACGGAATGTTGTAACTAAAAAGAATTATACAAACATTTGCATATAACAAAACTATATAAACTACGATAGTAGCCAATCTTCTTTAACTTTATAAGACAAACAATATAGAAATATTTTCATATAATTAAAAATGGGGTAAAATACATTATTGGTTCTTGAATTTGAAGATTAGAAAATTTGAATTGTTCTAAAAGGTCCTTAGAGTTAGAATTACATTAGTAACACTAACGAAATGCTGACGTGGAAATTTGAGTTACTAGCTGGCATTTGCTCATATATTTATTTTAAATGACATGACATTTGATCTCAATAAATTGTTACTCTAATGAAAGTACATAGACTAAATAGGTCTTTTTAACCCTAAACATAATGTACTTAGTCTCGATAAATCTCACATCTTTTTAACTTTACATAACAAACATATTAATTTTATATAATTTTTTTTTTAAATTTAAAATTCTAATGAACAAGAAACAAGAAATGCTTAGTAAACATATTTCTATTTCTTTTTTTAATAAAGAACAAGAAATAGTTATCAAATGCGATTATGTTTTTCTTGATTGAAAAAGAGAACAAAAAACATGAAACCAGAAACGTACTACCAAACGAGCCCTAAGATTTTTCATTTGTTTCTTGTTTTGTAAATTGCTTTAGAAACTATCTTGCTAAAACAAGCTTTCCACACCAAATAAATATTTTTTTATTTTTCTAAAAATTGAAAAATGTTTTTAAACATCATTTTCAAATAGCATTCATATACCATTTGAACCCAACAAGATTTAGCTAAAGAAAGGTACAATTTATTAATTTTAAGTCACCATAAGATGTTCTTACAAAAATGGAGAAGGAAAATTTCAAGCAATTAAAGGCAAGAGGAAAGAAAAATTTTAATGGTGAGCTTAGTTCCAAATTTTGACTTCTTCATATTATAAAGATTATTTATTTAGATGCCCATACNGCTTAATTTAACTATATAAATAAGGGTGAAATCCATTGTAGGCAAAGGCACAAGAAAAAACTCAAAAAAATTTTCTACTTTTAATTTCAATTTCACAACTTTTTTTTTTAAATTTTATTATTTGTATATGATCTTTTGGGATCAGTTTTTCGAAGTTAAACTTCAAATCTTTTTTAGGATATAAACTAAATATACTTTTCGCTAAAATACTATTTCGGTCTCTATATTTTTAGTTTTTTGTTTATTTCAGGTCTGGTATTTTTAAAATGTCTATTTTGGTTAATGTACTTTCAACTTTTGTCTAGTTTAATCCATTACTTTTGAAACATTCGTTTTGATCTCTATACTTTAAAAAGTTGTCATTTTGGTCATTTCATTTGGATTTTTTACCTTTTTTTTTTCAATTATAATTTCAACACGTCACTACACCAAAAATATTTTTTGCAATGTAGTCATAAATTTATGTTAAAAGTTTTCGTTGTGTATAGAATTTTTGTAAAAATTTTGCAAACATTGACTAAAATTTTCACTTTAAAAACGTATGGGACTAAACGAATGTTTTGAAAGTACATGATTAAAATCAACAAAGTTAAAATTACATAGATCGAAACGAATATTTTGAAAGTAGCGGGACTAAAATGAACTAAAACATTTAAATTTAAACCTTTACTTTTCTATTTTGGGTATTAAATTAGTAAAGGTTAGAATTGGAGCCATACTTTTGAAAGAAAAAACAACCTTGTTTGTTCTAAAAATTAGGTCGTCATCAAAACGAATCCACGAGAACAAAAAATAGAAAGTTTAAAAAAAATAGTTATTCAAACATGTTTCCACCTAATATTTATTCTACAAAATATAATCTATTTTGAAAATCATCCTCAAACAAGTCCTAGAGCTCAAAAACAGCAATATTAATCTTAAATTGTCGAGAAAATGAAAGTGATAAAAAATAAATATTGTAGAAGAAATAATAAAATTTTCAATGTGTGATGAACAATAAACAAATATGAAATATGGGAGAGTAGAAATCAATAGATGAGAAATCAACTTCAAATTGAAATGAGACAAAATTGTGAATAAACAAATGAAATAGTACAAACGTTAGTGATACGAGAAATATGCTAGAAAATATGATGGTACTAAATATTTGGAAGTACAAATTTCTCATGGAAGTTCATCCAATATACCTACAAAACTTGGACCTATTTAATAACCAACATACTATTTAAAACAACATTAAAAAGCTAGAAACTTGATAAGAAAAAAAACAAAACAGAAAATTAAATCTAATGTTTAAAGAAAGAAACTTAAAGAATAAAAAACTGAAAACTTTTAGAAGAAAAACCTAAAATCTCAACACAAAGGTTCCACTTTTGAGTCAGATACTTTTCAAAATTTTAATAATATTTGGTTATATGATCAAAATTGATGTTGAAAATTTTAAGATCAGTTCAAAAATATTTAAATTCATGATCTTTTGATTAAAAATACATATTTTAATTAATTAAACTATGTTCAGGTTGGCTTGCGTTTAAATTTTTTACGAGAAATAAGCAACTCAAAGATGTAAATGATGGGCATTGGAGTGGAGGTGACCATATTTCACTAATAAGAAAAAATGGATTCGACCAATTGGATACAAAGGAAAAATTGGACTCACTAGCAATGTGTGGAAGATCCAATTAGAGCGAAGAAGGAAAGAAAGGATAATTCTCTTTTGTTTCTCTTTAGACTTAAAAATAACAATATTTTGGTGGGGACTGGTAAGCTTATTATTTAAAAAATAAATAAAATAAATAAATTTTTGTATTTTTTCTCTTTTATTTGTCAAAAATTTAATAGCTGTCTAATGAGACATATGTTCACCAGTAAACATCTAAATATTTTACTAGATTTAATACACATAAAATTAAGATTTCAAACTTTTCTTTTTGGCTTTCTTTGTCTAAATTTTTAGAATTTAGATTGTATTATATTATGAAAATGTAGAATGCAAAGTTTTGCTTATCCTTACGAGAATTGTTTGCTCCATCTTGCGTAAACATTTGGAATTTTGTGTGAATTTGTATATGATTAATAAAATGTAGACCATATAAATAGTTTATAAAATATTTTCAAAAGTAAGATAGTTTTGTGAGTATTATTAAATTGTTAATTGAATAGATGATTATAGTTATTTAATTGAAATGGTTTGTTCTAACTCATAACTTTAAACTAATTTCTTAGAGTTGATTTAGAGCATAACTCAACTAGTTAAGGCATATATTTTCAACAAAAAGTTCGTAAATTTGAATCCTCACCTCCACATGCTTTTGTACTGAAAAAAAATTCTTAAAACTTTTGTATTCGTGCCTAAACTCCCTCAACCAAAACTCGCGCCAATGCTATCAACAATACAAGCACCCCCGATGGCTCATGTTGGACCCCTCGACGACCTTCCTTCCAAGGGCCATTCACTTGGCTCTTCTGCATGAGGCTAATCGCACTTAATAGTAGCATGTATTATATAACATGAGAAATAAGAAAACCTTCCAATCCTACACATTGACCTACCATTACTTCATCAAGAACATAAATACTAAGACCCACAAAAATAAGGAATATGATGGGATTGACCATAAGAAATGCTTTCATACAAAAACGAAAAGTTATAGAACAAGAATGTTAAAAGTTCATTTCCGCCCCCTAATAAATGGCCTTAGACTTCCAACTCTTTTGGCAAACAACAATTAAGACTTTAGTAGAGAATTTGCAGTGCAGAATACTTCCAAACATCCATTTGAACTGCTCCATTGTTTTGAAGTTTTTCAGTGTTTTATTACTTTTGGTTGTTGATATGTCAAGTTATTCTATGTTAAATGGATGGTTGGATTCCCCTTTTGCTTGCAATGATTTTGGTGAGCTTTTGTATTCTTCCATTAGGAAAAATTGTTGTTCCTCAAATTTTAATCCAAGCCAAAGTCCATCAAATACTCCTCCCCCACTCGGGCATCGTTCACCTTCTTTTGGGTCCCAACAAACGTGCTCAAAAGATGGTCAGCTAGTGATGCAACCCACAAAGGGATCATACCAGTCAACTCATTAACTCACACGTCAGACTCTTAGGTCCGTGTTTCAAGATGAGTCGGTCCAACGAGCAGCAATAGAATAGCCAGCGAAAGAAATGACTTAGCAAGAACAAAACAAATATATGAGGATCACCAAGAATTTTCAAATAAATTATTGACCTCAAAGTACATAAAGTGAGCTTCAAAACTTCTGAAAAGTAAAAACAGAAATCAAAATTTTTTAATCTACCTCCTTTAGTAGAACTTGATCACGACAATAAATCTGATGGAACAAATAAAAGAGCTAAAAAAAATCTAATGGGTAAACCTTGTTTGATCCTCTTCTCCTGGCAAAAGGCTTTTAGTGTGGTTTTGGAGTATAGCCATCAACAGCAAAATTTCTGGTGGCTGAAGGAATGGCTAAACGAATTCCATCAAGTTCTGGCTTTGCAATAACTTGACATCCCAAACGAGACCTGCAGAATCCGAACAAAGTTTATGCTTAACAAAAATGGGCTAACTATACCATTAGATCCCCGAGTATATTCGTCATTTTTTCAATCTCATCTAAGAGTTTTACTTTCATTCTCTACATTTCTTTATCCGAACTAAAAACTCGTCCAGTGAGATAGTATCAGATGATATATTATACCTCTCAATTAAAAGAATAACCTAAGCATTATGACAAGATATACCAAATGCTACATCACTATCCTATAATTCCATTTTGATGTTATGGAACATGAACTTGGATGCAAACGTTTTAAGCGTTGGAGATGAAATTGAAACATTTAACATATTAAGGAAACTAAAGAACGGTGTAAATGACGTAAATAATGATAATTCCCTAATTTATGCACAAGATACCTACGTTTCTGTAAGCCCAAACGCCAGATCCAACATGTCATTCTCCTCATCAACGGGTTCTTCCAATTTATTGTAGTAGTCCATATCCTGTGATGTGATTCTAACAGGTTAAGCACAAAATTCAAGTCTACAATTGTACAAATCTATATATATAGATATATAATCATTTTTAAAAAATGAAAGAAATTAAAAAACCTACTTACCATCACAATAACATGACAAGTTGAACAAGCTAATGAACCTTCACATGCACCTGGTATGAGAGTGAAAACGGTGCTTTAAATAAGGAAGTAGAAACTCAATAGCCAAAATGCAATTATCTACGCTAAGCTAATCAAAGGAAGTGCTTAAATAATTAAAAAGTGTGTATATATATTAATACCACACTTCATCTTAATACTCAAAATCACACGAGATAATAGAGGATACTTAAAGCTCCCATTCAATAACCATTTGAATTTTCTTTTATTATATACTCTTTAAAAATGTTTTCATAACCAAAATTTTGAAAACTAAAAGACGTAGTTCTTAATAACTTGTTCTTATTTTCTAAAATCAAACATAATTTTTAAAAACAGAAAACTGAAATCAAAATGGTAGTCAAACCGACCCTAAGCTTTTCAGAGCAGGAGGAATCAAACTCCTTACCTTCAAGTTCTATATCATTCAGATGAGCGGCTTCTAACATAGACATTCCTGTGGGAACTCTAATTTGCTGCTCTTCTCCATCCTTAAGGACAAATGTAACGGATATCCTGCAAATCACAGTTTCTGATACAGAAGAATCAACAGAATAATTCAAATGCAGACTTACCTGGGATGTCAGTATACTATATAATTGAAGGCCAAACAAGTGGTACAAAATTTTACAACAAATTGGAGGAAGTTGATTTAAGAAGAGGATGTTCCTCAAGCTTAACAACATTTTACAAGATTTTGGACCTAAATAGAGGAGGTGGACCTACGGTTGTACCTCTATAGTCTCTAGTGTCTCATACTCCGTGATCATCAACAGAAAGTCAATTGTATAATTAGTGTAAAAAATTAAATTGTACAATCTATATTATATCCACTGGTTCTCCAAAAAGTACTGAGAAATGCCATTCAAATGAAAATTTTTAAAAACTGTTTCTGAAAAGCCACAAATACACAACACTAAATCAGTAATGAGACGTGCTTGGGTTATTAACTAACTGTCTAAGAGAAATGCATGAAAACTTGAACATATACTGGTGCTCCAAACCCCACGGGTCATGCTCGTATTATGTACAGTGCATCTACATACTATCTTAATCAATGATAGTGATTCAGCAATCAAAGTCTTCTTGTATATATGTTAAGTAAAAAGCTAAAATAACTTACGTTTCTTTTTGCTCACTCTCTTCAATACTGCCATTCTGAGGACCTGAGGAGGTAGAATACAAACGCTGCTCCGGCCATTTGAAACCTTGAAGCACCTGAACTTGTGCCTGAGGCTGTAAAAAAATAAGGGTCCCACTATTACTCACCTCTACTAATGCCAAATTGCCAACGTTACGCACACCATGTCTCATTAAATAGTTGAAGTATCCTTTATCATTATTAGTGACCTATCCATATTCAAATTTATTCTAGAAGCTATAGGCTAGATATTGCCTATTTATCCTTAACTATGGCTGAAGAATAAAATAAAATGCTTTAAGACAAAAAAAGATTTATCACAGATTGTGAAGCAATATACGATGTATAAAATAATAAATTTCACATCATGGTAAAGATCAGAATTCAAAGGGAATAATAAATCTGAAATAGTTTCCAGCATCCAGTTAAGATGAAATTATGAATATTTCTTTCCTCATAGAAAACCACTTGTCGATAAATGATAAGTACAAAGGACAAGGCCATCAAAAACCCAAATGTTAGCCAAATAAAAATCCCAATTGTCATTGATTAAATAAAAAGGATGTTACGAAATAACTTAGAACTAAAACCCAGGAATAACTCACAAAAGTGACGAAGTCTCAATTGGCATTGATTATCCACATTAATGTATCTATTATTTAATGTGTTGTGGCCCAAATATTGGCTCATGAACTAATATAGCTATTATTAAATTCATATCAGTTATCAATTGTGAATCTGAGCAACAACAATAGCTTGAATATTGAAGGAAAAACTTATACTCATGTAAACTAGAAGTTAACAAACCAGAGGTTGCAAATAATTGAAAAATGGCCCCCGAATGTAGTTTGCTTTAGTCACCAGTAAAGACTGTCCTGTTGGGGAAAAATGGACCAAAAGTCTAATCAGAAACAATTTTTTTTATAAGAAACAAAAGGTGGTATATTCAAGAATCAAAAACCCAACAAAGGGAGAAACAACCTAAAAGCGGAGGGTAGAGGGAACCCTCCACTAAAGCCTATACAATCACAGCTTTCCAATCTTGCATAATCAAAATAAGATTGTAATTACAAAAAACCTTCTTGTGGATTGAAGCCCACCAAGAAGTCGTATGCTTGATATTCACAAAAAAAGAATCCATCAAAGCGACTTTAACATTACTGCATCATGTAACATTACTGAACTCTGAGTCTCTGACCCTAAATTAACGAAGAAACATGTCCAATAAATCGTAGAAAGGAACAAAGAGATGACATTTGTGCTCCGAAACACTAATACAAAGTATATACAGTTGCATTTTCAAATTGAGGCAAGAAATTTTGAACCTCCTCTAAAAACTCTCAAGTTATTGGTAACCTAAACTTCCATAATTCATTAAGGGAATAAGTCCTAAACCAACATGACGAGAAATCAAAAACAAAATAAAGAACCTAAACTAAAGGACCTAAGTAATTAGATCCTAACAATCCTCTTTATTGAAACAGAGAATCAAACCCTAAATATGTTGGAAAAGTAAAGTCAACTCAAGCCTTCAAGTTCTTAAGATTTCTAATTTTCTATAGTTGAATTGTGAAAGGGATTGTGAGAAGAAGAAAATCAAGTAAGGGAGACCTATTTAATGAAGGATAAGTTGAAATGACCATGAAAAAGTGTCAATAAAGGGGGCTTTTTTTTAAAAGCCTCTTTGTAACTCTTTGGCCTCTGAAAAAATGATTTATCCTTCTAATTTCTGTCTCTTTTTGGTTGATGAAATTTTGTTATTCTAGTAACACCCACACTAGTCTCCATAATCAATCTTCTTCTAGAAAAGGACACTCACCACAGCTACTGAATATTCTTTTTGTTCAATGGAAAAGGAACTTGCAAAAAACATGTAAAGGACTCATAAACATAAACTCAGAAAAAGGATCAATCGAAAGGTAAAAAATACCCTCTTACTGACGACCTAGAAGACCACCACATGTCCAAATAGATGTGCACTAAGAAACAAGAATATAAAGGTACTTAAAATGAGGGAGGATAGCATACCAATAAAGAGCTCTTTTATCATCCTAACTCCATTCCTTGAAAGTTTAAAAAGCGACATAATGATTACTACTATTACAAGACCACCTGCAAGAAATATAAGAAATACAAAATTATCAATCACAAAAGGACTTTCGCTTGTCTGACAGATAGTATGGACAATGAAGGGTGAATCAGAAGTCAATCAAATGGATGGTCAGCAAAAAGGGGAAATGACTAACGTGAAAATATATTGAAATACAAACATTCAAAGACTAAACTGTCTCCTCAGAAATTTATCAGGGATTGTCATCAAATATTCTGTATAAATATAAGTCAACATCAACAATTAAAGGGAAAAACAAGCCTGGGCTAAAAAGGAAAAAAAAAATAGGAAGGAAAAGTGGTAAACTTTGAGTCTCGTAAAATGATGAAAACAGACACAATCTTCCAATATGAAAATTGCAATCCATGTGGAGCACTATCAAATGGCAAGGCTTGAAATTCCCATCAGGAAAAATAAGCAAAATTGATGACATGTAATACGGGTAGGGTTAAAGTGGTTATCTAGGAAAAAGTAATTTATACCTACTTTTGAAAATGAACATTGCATTCAACAATTCAACACCATGTTCTACCTGGGCACAGCATCTATTGCTTGACAGTTCTAATTCTTTTAATTGCATGTAAACACTACTGTAATGGACTAACAAATCAGGTTTTGTAAAAATACGACACAGTACTACACATCATTGAAGAATTCATAAGATTTGACAGCATGACACAGCCTAACAGAGACTCACTAATCATGATTGGCAGCTATACTCTCGCAAAAATCAAAATGAATAATGGAGAAAATAATCGGATCTAAAAAGAATTAAGAATGGAGGAAAAACAAACAAATGTTGCGATATACTTTCAAGCCCAGACCTCAACGAACTCTCATCCTTTTACTTTATCACAATCACAATCTTGAATCCCACAAATGTTTTCTGATCTACATACGTGCTTGAGGAAAAGAGTATCCTCGGGTGCCCAAGTCAGATTTTGGGAGGACCCATGGATTGATTCTGCCCCTCTTTCCACCACTTTCTCGGATTTGTTTGCGTAGCCTCCAAGAAAGGTATGTCCATTGCGGATTGTTGGTGTACAGAGGCCTTAGCCTGGAATCTTGGTTTTAGAAGGAATCTCTTTGAAAGGGAAATGAGTAGATGGGCAAACTTCACTGGAAAAATAGAAGGTACAGCTATCGAAAATGGAAGGGGCATTTTATGGTGGAAAGCGGACCCATTCGACCATTCCACAGTCAATTCAGCCTTCATGGCCCTCACGTCCCCTTCTCCTCAACTTAATTTAGCTACTGCAAGCTTGATATGGAATTTTAGAGTCCCAAAGAAGGTAAAATTCTTCATTTGGATTTTGTTCTATAGAGGGGTAAATACCGCAGAGAAACTTCAAAGGAAATTACCTCATTGGGCTCTTTCTTCCTCTGTGTGCACAATGTGTATGAGCAACAATGAAATAGTGGACCACCTTTTTCTCCATTGCCCTTTTGTGTCTTTGGGGGTTTATAGCTTCTTTGCTAGATTTCTCTCTCTGTATTCCTAGAAGAATTGAGGATTTCATTGCTGAAGGTTATGGAGAAGGCAGCTGAAGGGCAAAGCTTGGGTTCTTTGGAATTGTGCGGCCCGGGCTCTTTTATGGTCAATATGGAAGGAACGGTTTTTTGAAGATAAGTTGATTTTGTTAGATTCTTTTTGTGTGAATATTAAGCATCTAGCTTTTTGGTGGGCTTTACTACACAAAAAAGTTTTTTGTAACTACGATCTTCTTTTGCTTACACAAGATTGGAAAGTGGTGATTGTATAGAGCTTTGGGGAGGG